TACGAGAAAATGTTATTTTAAAAAAACAGTGCAGCTCTCCAAAAGTTGCTTGTCATGCTGTGGTAGCACAATTAAGTAAGTAATTGCTAATCTTTGTCCCTTTGTAGATAGGGCTCTAATCCCAAACCCTTAAACAAGCAACCAGATCAGAAATCTAAATACATGTAATTAAAGATTTGTCTTAAGAGATAATTGGCACAAAAATGCAGATACCTAGTTTCCTTTCTACAATCTCTTAAAACCAGGCTTCTAACGATCCTATTTCAAGCAAACAGGATATAGAATAGAATAGAATAGAATAGGTGAAGTGGACTGGACTGGAATATAGAATAGAATAATAGAATAACAGAGTTGGAAGGGACCCTGGAGGTCTTCTAGTCCAACCCTCTGCTTAGGCAGTCCTTGATTTACACCATTCGTTTAATGACTGTTCAAAGTTACAATGGCACTGGAAAAAGTGACTTATGACTGTTTTTCACACTTATGACCACTGAAGCATTCCGATGGTTATGTGATCAAAATCTGGACACTTGACAACTGGGACGTACAGGTAGACTTCAGTTCATTACAACAGTTCATTTAGTGACTATTCAAAGTTACATCACTGAAAGGAGGGACTTATGACTGTTTTTCACACGACCATTGCAGCATCCCCATAGTCATGTGATCAAAATTCAGATGCTTGGCAACTGACTCATATTTATGACGGTTATAGTGTCCAGGACTCATGTGATCACCTTTTGCAATCTCCTGACAAGTCAATGGTGAAATCAGTTTCACTTAATTTACTAATTACTAATTTACCAACTGCAGTGATTCACTTAACTGTGGGAAGAAAAGTCGTAAAATGGGGCAAAGCACACTTAACAAATGTTTCATTTAGCAACAGAAATTCTGGGCTCAATTGTGGTCGTATGTTGAAGACTACCTGTATTTATGATAGTTTAAGTGTCCCAGAGTCATGTGATTACCTTTTGTGACCTTCTGACAGTTAGAACAATTAACCAGTGGAACAACCTGCCTCCAGAAGCTGTGAATGCTCCATCACTGGAGGTTTTTAAGAAGAGACTGGACAGCCATTTGTCTGAAATGGTATAGGGTTTCCTGCCTGAGCAGGGGGTTGGACTGGATGACCTCCAAGGTCCCTTCCAACATCATCATCACCATCATTATTATTATATATTCTTTCAAGCAAAATCAATGGAGGGAGGCAGCTAGATTCACTTAACAACCATGTTATTAACTTAACTGCAGTGGTTCACTTAACGATTGAGGCAAGAAGGGTGGTAAAATGAGACAAAACTCACTTAACTGTCTTGCTTAGCAACGGAAAATTTGGGCTCAATTGTGGTCATAAGCTGAGGATTGCCTTTTTAAGGGGATAATGTACCACTTGCCTGCATTATTCTAAAAAGACAAGGATAAATTTTCACATGTCTCAAAAATACCCTTCAATCTCCCTTTCCATTTCTATCCTCTTCAAATGTATCCCCATATATTATTGTAGCTATCTGTGCCTCTCCAACATCTCTGTTAATGGTCCTGTTTCTATCCAATGACACATCACAGAACAAGTTTAGACCAGAGAGGGCTAATTCGAGTTATGAAGGGCAACATCTTTTTCCATCATAAGCCACAAGGCTGGGTTGTGTTTTCTATTCAGAAATAAGGTCTGCGATGTTCAATGGGATTACTGAAGCCGCCTCCTCCAAGGTGAATCCCTAAAGCCAACAGTCTGTTTGCACAAGTGCCTCCACCTATGAGTAATACGCTACATAAGGAGTAGTTGACCGTACCCACTGTGGAGCAGCATTACTAAAGCAGCTTGAATAAGTCAGCAATGGTTTACTTATTACAGCAGTATTGTTGTGGGGAACTGCATTCCAAGGGGAGGTCCTACATTAGGGCTTGTAGACGAAAACAACAGGACTCTACCTACTCAAGAGTAAGCCCAGCTGAAGAGGAAGAAAAGTTGCATAAGCTTGCACTGCT